ACCGTAGACGTGGATTGTATAGAAATGAATTTAACGAGGAGGCTAGGCGCCAACTAACTTTAACTTAAGATCCCACTAAACGTTCAATTACTACTTGTTCATAGATTTAAGAAAACTGTCAAGGAACGTTTGTGCAACAAGGCGTATTATAAAGTTAAAGATTATTTACTAGATGGCACTACGTGGGAATGAGGCGCTCGCTCCTGGCCTTTTCATTTTTTATTATCATTAATTTTTTTTTAATTGTATTTTTTGACTTGTTTTTTCCTTCATTGTAAATATTTTTATTTATTTAAAAAAAAGAAAATATTTGCGAAAAAAAAAGCCCGCTGAGTTTGTTTCGCCGGTTCTTCTCAGGACTGTGGCTTTTTTTGGAACCGGTGGTAGAGTTAACATTGTTATTTGTATTTTGACATTCAACAAGTGTGTCATACTGACATCTAAGTTCAAATAAATGATTTTGAATTTGAATTTGAATTGAATTTGACCGACTTCAAAAGGATTACAGTTCGATAAGTTCTTTGTTTGATTTCAGACTGAGGGACACGCTCAAGTGGTCACTAGAGTATACATGATACAGTACTAGAGTACACATGAGGTCTAAAGGGGATGGCCCATTTTAGGCCCAAAGCGGACAATAGATTATAGAAAAAATACTTAGTGCATTAATTTTGTCATAAATAAATATGCATTTACTTTCTTGCAAATAAGCGCCACTACAGTTTACAATAAGTAGTTTAAAAAAAGTAACTCTATTGAAAAAACAAGGATTTTTATTTTTGCGGGAAAAATATTGCCAGCTTCAAAACCTTTTACGTATGAAGTAAATATTTTGAGTATATAAATAAAACATATAAATAAATCATTTTAAGTATTATCATTAATCAAACGATTTTAATGGATTTTATGCACATAAAATAACATCGAAGACATACCCATTGGACTTTAACTTGTAACTATACTTGAGACCTTAGAACTTATATCTCAAGGTGGGTGGCGCATTTACGTTGTAGATGTATGTGGGCTCGAGTAACCACTTAGCAACACCAGGGTGGCTGTGAGCTCGCCCACCCATCTAAGCAATAAAAAAAACTTTACTAGTATTGTTATTTAAATATGTACAACTAAAACAAAAACATAAAAAATAATGTGTACTCGTAAAAAAAAGATTAAGATATAAATCAATTATCGGTTATTTAAAAAAATAATCGATATATGAATTTCATGTAATTATTTTTCTTTATACTGACAACACTGAATTTAATCTGACTGACTGATACTTCGCTTGCTGCTTGTGGTGTTGTGCTTGCGTACAAAATGGATGTGTTTTGATTTTTCTTCGATTTATTTTACTTTTATCAATAACGTTTCATACTACGACTAAAAAACATTGTGTGAATTGTGGTTTTACCCTGACCGAGATTTAAAACCGTGTATATGCTCTCCTTTGCTATTTTTAGATGATACTAATTGTGTATGAAGATGAAGAAAATATAGATATTTAAAGAATTAAGTGTGTTTTTATACCCTATTGGATAAAAATACATTAGGAACATCTTAAACATTAAGAAAAGAAAAGTTCTTGAAGTATCTCACAATCCGACACTTATTTATATAGAAAATTAACCTCAAAACGAGTTTTTATTTTTATTATATTTTTTATAATAGTGGCGTCAATTTCAATATATTTTTTAGATATCCAATACATTTAAGAATTTGAATCAGTACATTTTTATAGTAATATTTGATGTCCATCTTGGGCCTAGCACACTATGGAGAGTGGGCAATCCCCTTTTAATAGTATATTTTTTATTGCATAGACCAATTGACGAAGTCACAGCTCAGCCAATCTGACTAAGATTGTTAATACCTCTGAGGGAGTCCGTATAGTGTCCCTTCTTTATTTCGCGGGAAAATCGTGTTTTTGGATCACTCGCAATTAAAACCACAGTTGATATAATAGGAGTTTTATTATCGCTTACACAGTTCTAAGTGATACACATTATTTTTTTCGTCTTATGTATTTTCGGCGGTAAAAAGGTCCCGTGTCACAGACTATCTTCTTTTTTCCACTCGTGCGTTCCGGCTTACGCATCCTAATAAGGTGCGTTCTTAAACGCCACACCTCTTTACAGTGATCTAAATATCGGATGTATTCACTTTAAAATACTCCATTGTTTTACATATCAAAATGAAACCTCGCACTGGGAGATCTTATACCACTAACCCGGAGCCGCATGGTGCTATTCCTCCGTGACAGACATCAGCAGGATGGTGGCACCTACTCGTGGGGCTCACAGGACGCCCCACTAGACACCATCACGTCGCAATATCTATTTAACTTTAAGCATTACTACAGTCCTCCCGATCCATTAACGGTGCTTTTAGGTATCACAAGCACCGGTCACCGTTTTCGTCGAACACGTCGCTTGCGACGAAGGGCTCGATGAGCGAATTAACCCATAGACACGGCCCACTGAGTTTCTCCCCGGATCTTCTCAGTGGGTTGCGTTTCTGATCCGGTGATAGATTCTGTGAAGCACTGCTCTTGCTAGTGTTAGTGTTAGTATCACTCCTGTTTGAGCCCCGTGAGCTCACCTACTAGTTAAGGTTACGCTGAAATAGCCTCTCAAGGCTCTCAGATAAGGTAGAAAAAAAAAATTACCACAGAAAAAAGCTTGTTAGCATCGCAGGGCTCGCAACTCGATCATTTGAAAACCATTTCAAACGGCAGATATAAATCTTCACACACGCATGTAGTTGGATCACGGAGCACGTAGCGTCTAGTTTAGTGCCCTTCGGCGCTACAAAGGGACTTGCTTCATTTCGTATTGATATTCCGATCGGGTGGGCGGCCTGTTGTTTATAGGTAAAATACTATCGATCCCTTGATAATTAAAGAGAAACGTTCTTTCAATTTACTAAAAAAATAAAGAAAAGGGGAGAGAGAAAGAGAAAGGGAGAGAGAGAGAGAGAGAGAGAGAGAGAGAGAGAGAGAGAGTATTCTATATTGTACACCAAAAAACAAATAAACAGTGCGATACATTAAATACCAAAAAAGTACAATCGGCGGTACTTACAATAGGAACTTCATAGAATAGGATGGACATAATGACGTCACTGCTGAAACGAAATGAGAGAAATAGCAAGACGTTCACAAATAAACAAAACGCATGAAAATACACTAGACAACTACACCTGCGACACGACCGATGCAGCATCCAAAACACCATCGAAAACAAAAAACAAAAAATTGCGTAAATACTATATAATTAAGACAATATAGGTATTCACTTTGTGATGGGGTCCTGTTCCGTAAGGTCCGTGTAGCTGGAATAGCACCTTTGCTATTCCAGCTACACGCGGACGGGTTGGTAAGCTCACGGACTCAACCTGGAATACGCTAGCCCTAGCAAGAGCAATGCTTCGCTGAATCTGCCAGCGGATCGGAATCACGATCCCCAAAGAAGATCCGGCAAGAAACTCAGTTGGTTGTGTCTGTGGGTTAGTTTGCTTGTCGACAGATTCCACAAGGAAGGTGACCGGTGCTTAAAAGCACTGAGAGTGTATCGGGCGACGACAGCTTTGCGTTGTTCCATCGCTTGGGTCCGATAACCACTTAACACGAAATAGGCCAGGACTTCATTCACCCGTCTAGACAATAAAACAAGACAAGATAGCTCAACTTTCAACGGCCTCAGCCTATGTTCGTATTGGTGTTAGAACCTCTTGTGAGTCCCCGCGGGTAGGTACCACCACCCTGCCTATTTCTACCGTGAACCTGTAATGCGTTTCGGTTTGAAGGGCTGGGCAGCCTTTGTAACTATACTGAGACCTTAGAACCTACACCTCAAGGTGGGTGGCGTATTTACCAGTAACCACCTAACACCAGGTGGACTGTGAGCTCGTCCACTAATCTAAGCAATAAAAAAAATTACGTATTGATGTATTGACGGATGACGATAAATATAATATGTACATAACATAATATGTACTTTCGGTGCGTAGTTTAGTAATGTAAGTACCATATTATCTGCAGTATAGTAGAGGACAGTGATCGTCCGTTGGAATGCGCGGTCCGTTCGAAGTTTTTGCTCCCACACCACTTTCACTACTACGCAATGAATGATCGGAACTTCTTGTAAATATTTCGCATTGCTTCGACTCATCATAATTTATTAAGACTACCCTCGCCCCGCATTACGCCAGCTGACTATGACAAATACCTTCTCCGAAACATTAACAATGCCAATATAGAGTATCATTTTGATCTAACAAAAAACACGTGTAGATTACAAACAGATATTCATTAATACGCTTTTATTAGCTTCAGACGTATGTATGTTTGCAACGGAATCTTTGAACATGATTTTGACCCCCTTCAAAACGTCGGATTAACTCGAAATTTGGTACACTTATTAAAGACTGATGACAATTCAATATTAAAAAAAATATATTGAAAAAAATTAAATTCAACTAAAAAATGAAAAATAGATAATAGTTTAAAAAACTGACAAAATACGCTTTTATAGAAAATCCAACTAAAAAATTGTTAATAAATCTTAATAAATTTGCATTAAAAATAGTGTAAGAAAAAATGATTTTATTGTAAAAAAGCGTGGGCACCCCACGCTTTTCAGGACATTTATCAAAATAACCCTTCTACTCATATCTGTTCATAAAATATTTATAACTACTGATACCATGCACCCCACGTTTTTTTTGCAATAAAATCATTTTTTCTAACACTATTTTTAATACAAATGTATTAAGATTTATTTTCAATTTTTTAGTTGGATTTTCTATAAAAGCGTATTTTGTTAGTTTTTTTTAAACTATTATTTATTTTTTCACTAATTAGATGTGATATATTTCGCTGCTACCCGTCAGAAATATGAAGGATTTACCGGTGCGGGCTAATGAAAACCTTACTAAGAGCAATTACGCATGCATTTTCGATGTAAATACCTATTACAACAACCAAATTCCTTTTGTTTCAGGGCTCTGACCCTCGGGTGGCGACATGTCGCGGGCGACTGCAGACCAGGCGGTGTCAACTGAACCAAGAGATCAACAAGGAGCTGAGGCTACGGGCTGGCGCTGAAAACCTGTTCAAGGTAAGAGCTTCAAACGATCCGACCATTCCGAGAGGAGGTTTTTTTGACGTGACAACGTCTTATAATTCGATGGAGCCGGCTGCACGCACGAAAAAACATGACACATGCGGCGTTACCTCGCTCTGAGGCGTTCCATTTAAGGCTTGAAGCGCAAGCAAGAGCGCGCAACGAGCGACAAAGAGGCACAATCGGCCTCCGCGTTCGGCAGCGTTCGACATCTGTCTCTCTCCTACTTGAGTGAGGGATGCATCCGCGTGGACAGCTGCTATACAATAATACATTTACATAAATATCTATCAAACAAATAAATCTATCTGCCTACAAGGGCAATAAAAAAAACCACGGACATCGAATTCGACGAGAAACAATTTGTCGGCAACACGAAAGCAATCGCCGCGACACACGTAACGCCACAGTAACGAAATACCGAGACACTTTCACTTAAATGGCACGTGTCGATTAATTAAAACACGTTTCATACATTATGAACGTTCAATATACACGTTCAACTAAACATTTTAATGGTTTCTTAAATTAAAATATTAACTAACTAAATATAACTAAATATTTACTTACAATCACGCCACGTTAACTGGTCCCGTGCTAAGTTCGTAAAGAACTTGTGTTACAGGTACCAGATAACGGAAATAAATGTAAGATTTTTATTATACACATACATATATTTAATATACATCCATAACCCTGGAAAAGACGTTTATATTTATCATACAAATATCTTCCCTTGGCGGGATTCGAACCCGCGACCCCCTTGTGTAGTGACCATGTCAATTACCACTATACCAGACAGCCGTTATATTATTATATTATTTAATGTACATGTTATTATCACACACCATTACTTCGAACGGAATAAACGACTTTTAGTCAACTCAACATCATTGTAATAATTATAATATTTATTGAATTAAAACTTCTTTTATTTATTTATTTATTGATACTTTATTTCAGTTTTCTTTTTTTTTAAAACCATAACATTTTGTTAGTAAGAATTACTTGTAAACTATGTTAGTAACTTAAAAAATCTAACACATAACTATCATTATCTATACTAATATATAAATCTACAGTGATTTTTACGGATGTTCCGTTATAACTACTGAACCGTGCATCCGATTGACTTGAAACTTGGTATTCATGTAGAAAATACATGTACTTAATGGATAGGCTAATATTTGTATCAGTGTTGGACTCCCTACACCAGTTGCGGGGGCTTTAATGATGAGAATCTTTGTGGGGGTGAGAAATAATGTTAATTTTAAATGCCCAACGAAGCGGACGGGTACAGCTAGTATCATTATATCATTATATACACTTTATACCATTACATTTGATTTTTTTTTCTCCTTCCAAGTGCCTGCTGCAAAGGCTTTTAATCAGCAGTCCCTCGATCTTGCTTGATATGAATTTCAAAAGACTGTCACGGACTTGACGCAATAACGATGCACTTCTCTTCCGCATTATTGCAAAGAAGTCATCCGTGTGAGATGTCGCAAACATTGTGGATGCACTACAAAAGAGCGGCAGTGACAACATCATCCTAAACGCATTATTATATTGAACACGTAGGGTATTATAAGCTCTCCGTGTATGATTGTATGATGTTTGTTCCAATTCGAACCAATGGTGTGTTTTTTATTTTTTTTATTGCCCTTGTAGACTGACGAGCATACGGCCCACCTGATGGTGAGTGGTTACCGTCGCCCATGGACTTAAGCAATGCCAGGAGCAGAGCCAAGCCGCTGCCCACCGTTTAATACTCTCCACAAGCCTCGTTTGAAGAAGGACATGTCATAGCGCTCGGGAAACACCGTGGAGAGGAGCTCATTCCATAGCCGGATGGTACATGGCAATAAAGACCTCTGGAAACGCACTGTGGATGACCGCAGTGGCGCCAAGTAGTATGGATGAACTCTACTCCGATGGCGGGCGGTAAAAACGAGGTGCCGGTATCATCTCGAACAATTCCTCAGAGCACTCCCCATGGAACATACGGTACAAAATACAGAGGGAACCGAAGTCCCTCAGCAGACCCAGAGGTTCCAAACCAAAAGCATTTACATTTAAGATTGTTACAATTAAAATACCCATTATAATTTAAAAAGCTGATACTTCTCATCGGAGCTCTCATTTGAATTGTGAGATCTTGATCTCAACAATAGTTTTTTGGGTTATCCTTAATTGACTTCGACCGTATTTGAAAATAATGATAAGTAGGAAAAAACACGCACAGTCATTCGATTCTAATTTTAAGAGTATCTGTGCAGTGGGTACCAGAGGCGTTATATATGTATAAATATATAACGCCCAGACAGAGAACAAACAGACTCATCACACGAATGTTCGTCCGATATGAGAATCGAACCTACGTTCTAATGAAATACGTACTTAAATGTTCACGATAGATTGCCCCAGTGAAGGAATAACATCGTGTAATAAAAATCAAACCCGCAAAATTATAATTTGCGTAATTACTGGTGTTAGGACCTCTTGTGAGTCCGCACGTGTAGGTACCACCGCCCTGTCTATTTCTGCCGTGAAGCAGTGATGCGTTTTGGTTTGAAGGGTGGGGCAGCCGTTGTAACTATACTGAGACCTTAGAACTTATATCTCAAGGTGGGTGGCGCATTTACGTCGAAGATTTCTATGGGCTCCAGTAACCACTTAACACCGGGTGGGCTGTGAGCTCGTCCACCCATCTAAGCAATAAAATAAAGCCTTCCACAGATGATCATTAGTCCGATCATACTCATTATATCTTTGGTTAAAACTTTTGCGTTATGTTCGAAACCAATCCGTTGGAATTTGAATTTTTACCACGGCAACACGGGTCGCGATTTGACGGTGCCTTCGCGATTTGACATCTGGCACTTTGTCTTGCTTCTCGAACGGGACGGTACCCGCATATGTGACGGTCTACGATACGGTTTGCATTATCACTAATCCTTAACCATTCCTGCCCTAAACCCTTCTCCCTAAATGGTACGGCGTGAGACGACGAGGTCATCGGTTCCGGTGAGTGATTAGATGATATTTTGTTAAAATAGTACATACGGCGCCGCGGATCACGGCAAATGTTCGACGCGCACCTCGTGCTGGTTTCCGGAGCCCTCCGTAACCCGTATTCAACACCCTGCCCTGGTCGGTGATCGCGGGGGCGCTGGACTATCACGGCGTCCCCGCGTTCCTCCGCCGGCTGATCGGCTCCTATCTCGAGGACAAGTCGATCGTATGCGTCGGACGCGGTGGGGCGGTTTACCGCTTCCCCATTCAGCGCGGTGTTCCGCAGGGGTCTGTCCTGGGTTCCCTGCTGTGGAATATCAGCTACGGCTGGGTCCTGCGGGGCGACCTACGGGGTTCCCTCCCCGGGCTGAGTGTCGTCTGCTATGCCGACGACACGTTGGTCGTACCCCGGGGAGGGACTACCGAGAGTCTGCCTGTCTGCATAATTCACAAAGGCTTCCTTCCACCAGAGGTCGGGTAGGAACGAGAAGCCAAACAACGCTAAATATATCTTACTTAAACAACTCGTATTTCGGCGAAGCCTTCTGATGCGTGATGCTTTTTTCTTAACGTGCATCGACCGCTTATTATTGTTTCGCGTGTGATTCAAACGCCGCCGAACCGTAACCCCCCTCGGTCTTTCACCTCTGGCCTTGTAAGTTTGGGAAATACATGAGCATTCTTATAGAGACTATCGTTAGTACATGATTCGGGTTTGTGTTACGGCTTTACTTCACAATCACTCGACGGTGTGTTTAGTGAGAGTTTTTTAACGTTCTCGATAGCGTAAAAGTTAACGCAAATTTGTATGGAATTGGAAAGTTTGCCTACGTTTGTCGCTAGGAGCGCTGTTCGAACTCCATACAAATTTGAGTTAACTTTTACGAGATTGAGTAATTAAAAAACTTGCTTTTTTTCCTACTTAAGCTGATGGTCTTGAGAGACCATTTCAGCATAACCGGGAGAGTAGGTGAGATCACGGGGCTCAAACCTGACGTTGTTGCTAAAACGGACCCTAGCAAGAACCGTGCGCCGCAGAATCTACCACCGGATCGGAAAGGCGACCCACTGAGAAGATCCGGCGAGAAACTCAGTGGGCTGTGTCTGTGGGTTAATTTACTCGCCGAGCCCTTCGTCACAAGCGACGGGTTCGACGAGAACAGTGACCGGTGCTTGAGGTACCTAAAAGCACCGTTAGATCGGGAGGATCCGAAATGACGTGTTTTGGGCGACCATTCGATCCGCAGGATCGGGGATGAAAAACTCGTACTGAGCGCACTGGTATATGTACAACATTCTAATCTTATTACTGTATTTACTTACAGAGCACTTACAGTCATAAAAGTATTGGGAATAGATGATTTGTTAATGGCTCCAAACTCAATTATTTGTTTTTGCTTGTTTTTGTTAGATCGGCACTACTGTTTTAAATTTGGACGCGCAGCTTAAGTTGCATCTGCCCTTTAGATTAAACTAGCGACCCGCCCTCGCTTCGCTTCGGAAACTGTAATTTATTATTGATTTCTCCACTATTTAATAGATGTTATTATACATATAAACCTTCCTCTTCTATCACTCTATCTATTAAAAAAAAACCGCATCAAAATCCGTTGTGTAGTTTTAAAGATTTAAGCATACATAGGGACAGACAGATGTAGGGACAGAGAAAGCGACTTTGTTTTATACTATGTAGTGATATAATGGTGTTTTAATTTTATTGTATCTAGTGTGTATGGCTAATTTGATAATAGACAAAAACATCGAATAAAGAGTTTGTCTTAAATTTTCAAACTGAAACGATGCCGAAGAAAAACTGCGCCAAAGTTGATAAAAAATCAATAATTTTGACTGTTTTCTTTGCCCGTCATGATGCTGTTCACTCGGAACTCTTTTTCTAAAGAAATACGTACTTAACAACGTCACAACGTAACAAATGTTCACGATTGACTTCCACGGTGAAGGAATAACATCGTGTAATAAAAATCAAACCCGCAAAGTTATAATCTGCGTAATCACTGGTGGTAGGACCTCTTGTGAGTCCGCGCGGGTAGGTACCACCACCCTGACTTTTTTGCCGTGCGAATTTACGTTGTAGATGTCTATGGGCTCCAGGAACCACTTAACACCAGTTGGGCTGTGAGCTCGTCCACCCATATATGCAATAAAAAAAAATGTTTTATCCTTTAGGCTACGACGACTGCAAATTCGCAAGACAATAAGCCCAAATTCCTTGTTCGCAGGCAACAACGAACAGAAAATTGCGGGAGACCGTAGCACTGGAGCTGAGCTTCGTCAACTCCAACCTCCAACTCCTCAAAGAGCAGCTGGCAGAACTCAACTCCTCCGTCGAACTCTACCAGAGCGATAGGTATGCAATCCGCAAACAATCAAATTACCAATCGCTAAAAGCTCCTAAAGGGGCGAACTAAAGAATCTCTTGAATCACTGACTGTGATTTTAATGTGTGAGTATATTTGGTTATGTATGTATAAAGTGACCAGACGTCCCGTTTTGAACAGGACTGTCACTTTTTAATACGCTTTTATTAGCTTCAGACGTATGTATGTTTGTAACGGAATCTTTGAACATGATTTTGACCCTCTTAAAAACGTCGGATTAACTCGAAATTTGGTATACTTGTTAAGGACCGATGACAATTCAATATTTAAAAACAAAATTGAAAAAAAAAAATACTAATAAATATAATAATAATAAAAAGATAATCGAATAGTCACAATCGTATTTAGTTTGACAACTTTTAATCCACAAATACGCACGAACACATCGAATGAGTTATTTAAAAACTTGTTTCAATAATTTTATTCGTGAAACTATACCACATCATTTCGTTCTAATCAAATATTTAGGTGGGAAATTAAGTTGACAGCCTTGAAGACAAAATGTGAAGGCGATATACGTTGGAATGTTGGATAGGGTTATCGATTTGTTTTTTAGGAGAATTTGCACACGGAAGACGACCGTTTAGTCAATGATAATTCACGTTCTGACAGACCGTTTGGAACTTAGGATCTATCAAGGGACTTCGGCTTACTCAGTCCTCTATGCCGTATGTTCTCCATGGGGAATGCTCTTAAGGGTTTGTGAGAAATGATCCCGTCACCAGCGTGCTTAGTGTTCTTTAACGTTTTCGATAGAGTAAAAGTTAACTCAGATTTGTTTGCAGTTGGAACAGCGCCCCTAGCGGCAAACGTAGGCAAATATTCCAACTCCATACAAATTTGAGTTAACTTTTACGCTATCGAGAACGTTAAAAAACTCGCACTAAGCACACTGATTTTACAGCTCATCCATGCTACGTAGAAACGCTGCGTTCACCTACAGCCCATTTCCGGAGGTCTTTTACCGCGTACCTACCGGTTTTGGAGTTTTCTTCTTTGCATCCCTATTATATGCTCTTGTTCAAAGGATGTTCAAAGGGAGTTTACTGTGTTACTTGCCCCTGGCGTTGGCGACATCCATGAACAACGGAGACCACACATCAACAGATGAACGATCCACGTGACAATGTGACACTCTTTCTGTGTGTTTTGTGTCATCAACCCACTGGAAATGATTCAAGGGTTCCAATTAATTAGTACTTTTCATCAGGTCATTCCCATCATTTACAATGTTGTAAATAATCTTAACCTATTTTCATAATACCACAAGGCCGAAGGAGGTTCGAAGGAGGTCGAACTCTAACTTATATCAAATAATCGATTTCCTACCTTATTCCTATTAATATATCGTGACTTGTTTAGTGTTGTCAACCCTACAGATGACCATATGTATAGACAGTGTTTAAATTGCATAATTCTAAGACACTAGAAAGGCGATAATTGATTAGGTAAACAGTAAAGAATCCTCATTGAATAAATAAAACTCAGAATTAATAATACACTGTACCTTTATTACATGATTTGGCTTGAACACGATTTGTAAATCAACGAACTTTGAAAAGTTTATAAGTATGTATGTGGTTGGACATTAGCATTTTATACACATCGTTAAAAACGTTTTTGGGTCTCAATCGTTTGGCAACACTGCGTGCTTAGTGCCAAGCAGACACCAATGGAGAAGCAGATCCTTACGCGGAAGTGGTATTGGATTGGTCACATATTGAGAAAGCCCGATACCCACCTATCAAAGAGAGCACTGACCTGGAAAGTGTCTGGAAAAAGACAGAGAGGCCGCCCCAGAATAACTTGGCGTCGCTCAGTGGAGCAGGAGCTAAGTGTCTTGGGCATGACGTAGGAGGAGTTAGAACAGACTGCTCAAGACCGATGTAAATGGAAGGATTTGATTCGAGCCCTACACCCTAGCAAAGGGTAATAGGAAAGAATGGTCAGACAGTATAATGATTTGGCTAAATGTCACGGTAACCTTGATATCTTTGAACCTAGACTCAGGGGGTTTGTCAAATGTGTGAAGGATATCCTATTTAACAATAGCTAGTTATCAATATTTGTAATTTCAATTGTGTTTTCAATAGCCAAAGGTATGCACGTTATTATGGTTTTGCTGAGTGTACATACTATTTAGATTGCAATCCAGATTAGATCTCGGTACGATACTTGTACGATTTAGCTAATATTTACTGTAATTATTGTAATTTGTTTTGTGCATCAATAAATAAATAAATAAAAAAGAATGGTGATGATGATGCGTGCTTAGTGCGAGTTTTTTAACGTTCTCGAGCGAGTTAAAGTTAACTCGAATTTGTATGGAGTTGGAACAGCGCCCCTAGCGGCAAAGTACACTGATTGCAATAACGGGGAACTCCCCGAACTGTGAAATACAATAAACATTTAAGGGAAATATGTACATACGGCTATGGAATGAGCTCCCCTCCACGGTGTTTCCCGGGCGCTATGACATGTCCTTCTTCAAACGAGGCTTGTGGAGAGTATTAAACGGTAGGCAGCGGCTTGGCTCTGCCCCTGGCATTGCTGAAGTCTATGGGCGACGGTAACTACTCATCATCAGGTGGGCCGTATGCTCGTCTGCCTACAAGGGCAATAAAAAAATAAAAAAAAAGCAAACGCAACCGTTCTTCATATGCTTTCATTTGAAATTATTAGTTTTTTATTTGTTAATGTTTCACGTAAAAACTACTGGATGGATTTTAATCTAATAGCTTATATTAGCGGTGGCCAACCGATCGAGCGTTGCATGATAAAACATATCTATATCTATACTAATATTATAAAGAGGAAAGATTTGTTTGTTTGTTTGTTTCGAATAGGCTCCGAAACTACTGGACCGATTTGAAAAATTATTTTTCCATTAGAAGCCGACATTGTCCCTGATGAACATAGGCTACTTTTTTAATTATTTTTTTTTTTTGATTTCATGTGTGTTTTAATGTTTCCGAAGCGAAGCGAGGGCGGGTCGCTAGTAATAATATAAAAACGCAAAACAGACTTTTTTTTAAATCCTTTTCGCTGGTAGCGCAAGAGGCTATTCCAGTTACGCCTTGGCAGATAGATGAGCTCAGAGGCTTAACCTGAGGGAATTTGCTAACACCAGCCTTAGGAAAAGCAGTGCTTCGATGAATCTACCATAGCGGGTCATAGAACCGACTCCGCAACTGCTGCGCGCATCATCTTTATCCTGTATCGTTTGGTTAATCGACATTCCGTCAGTAATTATCCTCTTTTTCGCGAAATAGTTCTCTATTATTTTACCAACCTTTTTTTTATTTATTGCTTAGATGTGTGGACGAGAGATGTGTGGACGAGCTCACAGCCCACCTGGTGTTAAGTGGTTACTGGAGCCCATAGATATTTACAAAGTAAATGCGCCACACACCTTGAGATATAAGTTTTAAGGTCTCAAGTATAGTTACAACGGCTGCCCCACCCTTCAAACCGAAACGCATTACTGCTTCACGGCAGAAATAGGTGGGGCGGTGGTATCTACCCGTGCGGACTCACTAGAAGTCCTACCACCAGTAATAACGCAAATTATAATTTTGCGGGTTTGATTTTTATTACACGATGTTATTCCTTCACCGTGGAAGTCAATCGTGAACATTTGTTGAGTACGTATTTCATTAGAGAAATTAGTACTCGCCTGCGGGATTCGAACACCGGTGCATCGCTCAACACGAATGCACCGGACGTCTTACCCCTTAGGCCACAACGACTTCAAAAACGACTCTTGGAAAACTAGGGCAAAATCCTCAGACGCTTACTGATGGTAGGACCTTTTGTGAGTCCCACCACCCCGCCTATTTCTGCCGTGAAGCAGTAAGTAATGCGTTTCCCAACCACTCAACTAAGCAATAAAAAATAATAATAAAAAATAGGCACGAGTAATTTCAAGAACTTTATGATTTTCGTTGAATTAACGACATTCACACATACCAGGTTTTACTAGTTCATAATTAAAGCAATAACTTGACTTGTCAATCACACTGTTTGACCGAGGACAATTTATAAAATCACATAAATCAAGACGTCCCATTAGCATATCTATGCGTTTGATAATTACGAAAACAGGAAACCAAATCAGTTAGATTCGTCAAATCAGTAACGTTTTATGTACGTGCAGACGCGCGTGCGAAAATAGGCTTTAAATCAACGGTACAGTGGTGAAATTGATTTGTTTTTTATACGTTCTTGAGCTGTTTTAATTTTGTGGATTAACCTACATTTTGATTGTGGGTGTGGTCTCTGGTAATCGTCACCGTATCTTAAGTAAACTGCAGGCAGGGCTGTGTCTGTGGACCATCCAAACGTATGCCATAGTTTCTTGGTCTTCTTGGTGGGTGGACGAGCTCACGGCCCACCTGGTGTTAAGTGGTTACCTTAACCCAGCTCGAACGCGGTGACGGACATCAAAGAAATAGCGCGAATATTTTCCTTGTACACAATTACGATATTTCAAAGTCGGCTGGTAACTGATGATTTATATGGTGGTAGGACCTCTTGTGGGTCCGCGCGGGTAGGTACCACCACCCTGCTTATTTCTCCCGTGAAGCAGTAATGCGTTTCGGTTTGAAGGGCGGGGCAGCCGTTGTAACTATACTGAGACCTTAGAACCTGTATCTACCATCCACTCATCTAAGCAATAAATAAAAATAAATGATACTTGCCGACACTGACGCATTAACAAATGTTTTTATTATAGTCAAACACAACGTTCTTTTTTTTATTGCTTAGATGGGTGGACGAGCTCACAGCCCACCTGGTGTTAAGTGGTTACTGGAGCCCATCGACATCTACAACGTAAATGCGCCACCCACCTTGATATATAACATCTAATGTCTCAGTATAGTTACAACGGCTGCCCCACCCTTCAAACTGAAACGCATTACTGCTTCACGGCAGAAATAGGCAGGGTGGTGATACCCACCCGCGCGGA